TTATTTTATTTTATTTTATTTTATTTTATTTTATTTTATTTTATTTTATTTTTTTTATTTTTTTATTATTTTATTATTATTATTTTATTGACAGACTGACCTGTTAACTCAATTGCTGGGGGAAAGAAAACATATTTGGGAGGAAAGATCAACCCTTTCTGGAATATTCATAGGTACGCCTTTATCATTGTGACAGTTTTGTCTTGAGCACACTTCACTAGGGAAGAGGCACTAGAGACAGAAAAAAGAGATAAAGGATCCTAGGTTGAAGAGGACTCATAAAATTAGACAGATATTAAAATGTTTGCAGGGAACTCAGCGTAATACACAAGCTTGCTGCAGCCTTGGCATGTTTGATTTACAGCCTCGGAGAATCCTTGCTAATCCATGTCGGAAATAAGTCAAATGGAAACAGATTTGACAGGGTCTCAGATGTTGTATCCATACTTCAGACCCAAAGTAGGCCCTTTGAAAGAGCTGGATTTTCAGAGTGCATGAAAGCACACACAACACTCGTGGTAACTCACACACACACCCCCCGAGGATTGTAAGAAAGAAACCTTTAATTAGGTGTAATTCATATGAGTTGCATGTTCTCTCTTTCGCAGGTAGATAGATAGATAGATAGATAGATAGATAGATAGATAGATAGATAGATAGATAGATAGATAGATAGATAGATAGATAGATAGATAGATAGACAGACAGACAGACAGACAGACAATAAGTATAAATAGATTAGATGGATGGATGGATGGATGGATGGATGGATGGATGGATGGATGGATGGATGGATGGATGGATGTAGACAGACAGACAGACAGACAGACAGACAGACAGACAGACAGACAGACAGACAGACAGACAGACAATAAGTATAAATAGATTAGATGGATGGATAGATGATGGACGGATGGAGATAGATACATATAAATAGATTAAATGGATAGATAGTAGATATAGATAGTAGATATATAGACTAAATAGATATAGATATAGATAGCTAGCTAAATAGATATAGATAGATAGATAGATAGATAGATAGATAGATAGATAGATAGATAGATATAAACAGTAAATATAAATAGATTAGATAGCTAGTAGATATAAGTAGATTAGATAGATAGATAGATAGATAGATAGATAGATAGATAGATAGATAGATAGATAGATAGATAGATAGATAGATAGATAGATAGATCATGTCATAAAAGAGCCAAGGTTCCCCACCCCTGGGCTAAGGACATGAACAAAAATGAGCTCTTTTTCACCTTAATTAACAAAATGCATATTTAAAATCTATTCTGGGAGACAGACCGCTTCCTTTCCCCTTGCAGGAATGCCTCAAGGAACGTCAGAAAACAACCAACCATCTCTTCCTCAAAATTGTCTCTTGAACTGAAGAAGCTGCTTGGATGAGAAGCAAAAATGTTTACAAAGTGTTAGGGGGGGGAACCAAGAGAGTCCAGTTGAGTTTGATGTCCCAAAGATGCTTTTTTCAGAAGGCCACTGGACTTTCTTGTTTTTTCTTTGAAGACGTTTCGCTTCTCATCCAAGAAGCTTCTTCCGCTCTGACTGGATGGTGGGGAATGGAAGGACTTATACTCCTTGCAGACTGCTGGTCCTTTGCCTTCTTTTAAAATTAATTTTAAAATTTAGAGCAGGGGGTTGGACTAGAAGACATCCGTGGTCCCTTCCAACTCTATTATTATTGTTATCGTTGTTGTTGTTGTTAATGCACTGCATTCCTCCAAGTGGCCTCTGCAACTCTCTAACTCAGCAACAATTGTGGCAAGCAGCGTCATCAAAAGGGGCAAACCTGACCGGGGGGGGGGGGAAATGTCTCACTTAGCAACAGAAAGTTTGGGCTAAGTTGGGCTGTAAGTCAAGAACTACCTGAGGGGTGGAGGGAGAGAAGCAAATTGCAGCGTGGTTTTTTTCAAAGGCTGTGGAATCCCTTGCGGCAACGGAAGGGTGATGTCGGGGTTAAAAACAGAGAAACGTCCGTTGACCTCTTGCGGGAACTTGATACGCCAAGCAGACTAGATTACCATTTATATCCTTGTGTAAGGCAGGAGTAGAGGCTGCCTGTCTCCTTGAAATACTAACTGTTGCCAGCCAGTCTACAAAATGTGCAGCAACTGAAGCCAGAAGAATTATGAGCCCTCTCCCCATCTCTCCCCCTCCTCTGTTTTCCGATGCATTTTTAAACTGTCGACATCCTTTCGCATCCGGACTAGAAAGAAGACTATTGAGTTGTTGTTTCCCCCCCCCCTCCTGACTTTTGGGAGAACTTTGGAAGGTTATGAGAAATGTGAAAAGGTTTTCAAGGGCCGAGGAAGAAAGAGATCTGAAAAGTTGGGAGAAACCAACTTTTCCAAACAAAAGAGGGCTTCCAAATGCAGTAATATGGAAATCTCAACACCGTTAGGTTTCCCCAAATATCTGGCCCGTAAACACTCAGCTCCATCCAGGGTTGTAAAAAGGGGGCTTTTTATTAGATGCCCCCAAATGTTTCATTCATGCTTTAAATGGTGTGCTGTTCCTCTTAAGAAGCGTAACGGCCACCATCCCACTCAAGATCTTGGCCGTTTGGTTTACGCTTTTTTGTATTTTAGAATTAGAATTATTAGAATTAGAATTATTAGAATTAGAATTAGAATTGAGTTGGAGGGGACCTTATAGGTCATCTAGTCCAAACGCCCCCTCACCACCCAAGCAGGACACCCTACATCATTTCTGACAATTTCTAGCTTTACAACACATTTGAACAATCGGTGGAACAGCTTGCCTTCAGAAGTTGTGGGTGCTCCATCAGTGGAGGTTTTTAAGAAGAAACTGGACAGCCATCTGTCTGAAATGGTCTAGGGTCTCCTGCTTGAGCATGGGGCTGGACTAGAAGACCTCCAACGTTCCTTCCAACTCTGTTATTCTCTTATTATGGTTTATCGCATAGTCAGCCAGATGTTCAGACTGGCATTTTGGTCTACCTATCGAGTCTTTTCCAAGGACCTGGGATAAGCAGACCTGGATGTTGGATGGTGTTAATGAAATCGCCGCAGGATGGAAGCAGTTCCGAGTAAAGCTGCCTTTTGCAATTGACAGGTGGCGAATTTGTCAATGCCGACGGTGTTCAAGTGGGGCTCCAGTTGTTTGGGGATTGCACCCAAGGCGCTTATTATTATTGGGACTACCTTTGCTTTCTCTTGTCACAGTCGTTCTATTTCTATTTGTAGGTCTTTGTATTTTGTTATCTTCTCCAGTTCTTTCTCTTCTAGTCTGCTTTCTCCAGATACTGCCACCCTCACTACTACTACTATACTATTATTGTTGTTATTATCATCATCATTATTATCATTATCATTATTATTTAAGATATAATCTTCTATTTGATTCACAGTCTGGGACTGGTGAAAACTCAACAGTTCAAGTCCTAACCAAGGATCCTAAGAGCTGTTACGGTAGCGTCTGAGTATATAGGCGGCTCCAAGTAGGCTGGTTTTCTGCCAAGTCAAAATATTCAGGTCTAATAAGTTCAAAATTTCCATGTATTCCGGCAGCCCTTTGGGTATTGCTCCAAGGTCTCCTATTACTATAGGGGCAACTGTTAGTTTCTTCCTCCACAATCGCTCAACTTCAATTTGCAAATCATGACATTTCGTTATTTTCCCAAGCTGTTTCTCTTCAATTCATGCAAATATATTATGATGATGATGATTCTATCAATAAAAGCACCTATTAAAAGTACTTGACGAAGGATTTCTCACTTTTTTCCCCTCTTTTTTTTTTTTTTTTTTGCAAAGACTATCAGATGCAACCTAGCCAGGTTCTGAATTCAACTTAAGGAGACTACGTTTTCAGGATTTGCCCGAAGTGACACTGATTTCATTCTCGCCAAGCCCATCTGCTTTACGCTTTCATATTTAATCATGCTTTCCAGTCGTTTGCCCATTCAGATGACAAGGAGGATTAATTTTTAATTTGTATGCCATTTGCTTGGAACTTATTTTGTTGTTCCTCCGTAAATTGGTCCTGAAGACAAGCCTTCTAGCAAACATTCCACATTTTTTAATAACAAAAAAAACAGGTGTCCAAGAATTTATTTACTTTAGGGGAAAATATGACACACAGGTTTGTTTGTTTTTTTCATGTTCTTTGTAACCTTCCACACTGGATCCATTTTTTACACAATAGTCTCCAAGTAAGGACATTTCAGTATATATACAGAATTTGGTGCGAATCTGCTGATTTTTTTTATAGCATCTCATGAAGTTTTATATAGACTACGCTGCCCTTTCCCACTGCCCCACAGCCAGCTCACGGCAGGCCAATAGAACATCTGTATTGATCCTTTCATTCAGTTACTTTTAATAATTTTTGACCACATTTCTGTCGAAAAGATTGTAACTCTTGTATTTCTGGATTGAGTTTTCTTTATTTTATTACTAGTATTATTGGCCACGGTTCCATTGAAATTAATTTAACTTTTGTATTTGCTGAATTGCTCTGCGGCGAGTCGTCCCACTCTGTTCTCAAACACATTTCCAGAATGAGCAATTTGGGATAGAGAACATTTCAAGAAGAAATGGAAACTTATTTGAGAACCGCCATCACAATAAGGGATTTGACACAAACTCCTTGTTACACATAATGCCTTAACGGTTTGAGCGCTCCAATTCCCCCCCCCCACAACGAGATATCTTTAATTTACCTGTTTTATACACTGCAGCCGGTCATTAGTTTGCTGTATATGTCTGTCCATAGAATTCATTTCGATTGTCTCCACTTCAGTTCTACCTGAAAGCCATTAAAATCCCTCAGGCTGAAAGATACGAAAATAAAATAATAAAAAAAAAATTAATCACTAATGGAACAGTAAGTTACAATTCTGCAAATTCTAATGGGATTTAAGATCTTGAATGTTACCACTTCTTTTGGTCCCTATTTCCTAAGTAACCAGAGCGTAAGGATTCATAGCATAAGCTAGTTAGACGAAGGAAATTTTCTATTTTGGAAAGGGTGCCTTTTTCCAGTTTGAGTCTAAATCTTTGGGGACATTACAACCGCAGTCTTTCACAATCTCACTCTAAAATATTTTTCTTTGCCCTTATCTCTTCTTTAACCCAATACTGGCTCTTCTACTAGATTGGTGACAAAAGACTTTTTAATAGGATGAAACTCGGGAGGAAAAACACTAATGTAATTAAACCCATGTACGATGGATAGTTAACTCCAGAAGTGAAATCCCATTGAAGGTGTACATGAAGAATTGTTTTCTTATGCACACAAAGATAATTCTAATTCTACCTGGACTAAGCTTAAATCAGCATTCATATAACACATACATTTAGATTAAACAAATGCTGGGCTATTGTTGCTGGACAAATAGGAGGAATCAGGGAATCAGAATAGGAGTTGGAAGGGACCTTGGAGGTCTTCTAGTCCAACCCCCTGCACAAGCAGGAGACTCCTAGACCGTTCCAGACTTTTGCACATCCTTTGCACACGCATAAACACCACATCCTACATGTAAAGCTAACATTTGCAGGTTGCCTGCACAAATAGAGGAAGGAGTACTGTATTTGTCACCTTGAGCTAGTTATCAAAATCAGAAAGGCAGGATATGAAATAAGTAAATAAAATCAAAATCAAAATAAACCTTCCTTCTTACGCTAGGTAGAGGGAAGTGTAGAGGTATAGAAAGCCAGCCTGGAACCGTGGATGGTTGAGCTCTTAAGCACGATGTTAACAGCTTTGCGTTTGGGTTTTTATCATCTTACCAGCAAAGCTCTTTTTCCTACATGTTCGCCGGAAACCCCAAAGGTTCGCCTGCGTTGCTACGCATGGAATACACACACCCTGCTACCGGGCGCAACTTTCCCTCAAGCTGCCAAGCGTCATCAGTTCTGCTCAGATTAACCTTTTCCTTCAAGTGCCTCCGATAGGCTGGAAAATCATTTATAATTCACTGGATGGAGGAGGTCTGAGAAGCATCCATGCTGCTGGGCAATGCGTCCTGCACATGCAGACACACACACACACACAGACACACACAGAGAGACAAAACATCCCCCTCTCCTGGCTGTCTGGAGGCCTCTCCGATAGCACTTCCTCCGTGGCTCCTGCTGGATTAGATTGCAGAAAAAAAGATTTTGCTCTGGCTATGAGGGGACTTGCACGTAGACAGCTCTCCTCCCCACTCCCTGTTTCAGACACAAGTGGGTTCCATAAAGCCAGGCTGTTGGTGGAGAGCGATGCTTTGTGAAACACACACACACACACACACACACACACAAAGAAAGATGGTGCCTGTTTCATCATTTCAAAATCGTTCCTCTACGCTAGTGCAGGATAGGTGAGGAATTCTTGCTGTCTAATTTTTTTTTTTTCTTAAGCTGCAGTCCAAACGCGCTGGAGAATTCCTAGAAATCTGCTCTTAAGAAACATCAGCCATCAACAGGCACAGGGACACAAACAACATCTGCATCCCATTCAAAAGAGGCCATCAGAAAGCCAAGAAGGGGAAAACGTCAAGAGCAAAACACCTCCACCCCAGCAATTCACATCAAGCTGACTGCTAGACCAGGGGTAGGCAACCTTGGCTCTTTTATGACTGGTGGACTTCAATTCCCAGAATTCCTGAACTAGCCATACTGTCTCAAGAATTCTGGGAGTTGAAGTCCACCAGTCATAAAAGAGCCACGGTTGCCTACCCCTGGTCTAGACCAACAGTCCGGAAGTAAACAATACCCCAATCAAGGAACTATCGGCTCAGACAAACAACCTAACAGCACACAACCGACAACCGGCTCAGACAAACAACCTAATAGCACACAACAGCCTAATTAATGTACTGCCAGGAGTTCGATCCAGTCTGTCTGTCTGTTTGCCTACCTAATCTATCACATTTATATAGCTGCCTATCTCACAGGAAGTGTTTCTGGGCAGTATACAATAATAATGAAATAAAAGACAATACATAGGTAAAAGTAGCTAAAACTACATAGCTAAGGATCCCTGGTGGCGCAGTGGTTAGAACGCAGCATTGCAGGCTAACTCTGCCCACTGCCTGCAGTTCGATCCTGACTGGCTCAAGGCCTTCCATCCTTCCGAGGTCGGTAAAACGAGGACCCAGATTGTTGGGAGCAAGAGGCTGACTCTGTAAACCGCTTAGAGAGGGCTGTAAAGCACTGTGAAGCGGCATATAAGTCTAACAGTCTCACCAATACTGACAGGGCAAGTCACTAATACAGGTTGTCCTCGACTTAGGACCACAACTGAGTCCAAAATTTCTGTCAATAAGTGAGACATCTGTTAAGTGAGTTTTGCTCCATTTTATGAGCCNTTCTCGGATCTGAGCGACTTTGTCATACAGATATTGCGCAAAGTCCTCGGCCCTCCCCTCCAGGGGATCCCCCCCTCCCTCAATTGAAGGAGAGAGCGGGTCACCCTGAAGAGGGAGGCCGGGCGGTTATCTGATGACGCAATGAGGGTGGAATAGTAATTAGACCTCGCCACCCTCATCGCCACAAGGTAGGATCTAACATGTACCCTTACCTGTGCTCGGTCGGATTCGGTTCGGCTAGCCCTCCAACTGCTCTCTAGAGCGTAAGGATTCAAAGCATAAGCTAGTTAGACGAAGGAAATTTTCTATTTTGGAAAGGGTGCCTTTTTCCAGTTTGAGTCTAAATCTTTGGGGACATTACAACCGCTGTCTTTCACAATCTCACTCTAAAATATTTTTCTTTGCCCTTATCTCTTCCTTAACCCAATACTGGCTCTTCTACTAGATTGGTGACAAAAGACTTTTTAATAGGATGAAACTCGGGAGGAAAAACACTAATGTAATTAAACCCATGTACGATGGATAGTTAACTCCAGAAGTGAAATCCCATTGAAGGTGTACATGAAGAATTGTTGTCTTATGCACACAAAGAGAATTCCAATTCTGCCTGGATTAAGCTTAAATCAGCATTCATATAACACATACATTTAGATTAAATAAATGCATATGATTGCAAGCTTCCTAGCCAATGGAAAAAACTGATTCACTTAACAAATGCGCCGGACCAGGAGACGGTGAGTTCTAGCCCCACCTTAGCCATTAAAGCCAGCTGGGTGACTTTGGACCAGTCCCTCACTCTCAGCTTGACCTACCTCACTGGGCTATTGTTCTGGACAATAGGAGGAACCAGGGAATCAGAATAGGAGTTGGAAGGGACCTTGGAGGTCTTCTAGTCCAACCCCCTGCACAAGCAGGAGACCCCTAGACCGTTCCAGACTTTTGCACATCCTTTGCACACGCATAAACACCACATCCTACATGTAAAGCTAGCATTTGCAGGTTGCCTGCACAAATAGAGGAAGGAGTACTGTATTTGTCACCTTGAGCTAGTTATCAAAATCAGAAAGGCAGGATATGAAATAAGTAAATAAAATCAAAATCAAAATAAACCTTCCTTCTTACGCTAGGTAGAGGGAAGTGTAGAGGTATAGAAAGCCAGCGTGGAACCGTGGATGGTTGAGCTCTTAAGCACGATGTTAACAGCTTTGCGTTTGGGTTTTTATCATCTTACCAGCAAAGCTCTTTTTCCTACATGTTCGCCGGAAACCCCAAAGGTTCGCCTGCGTTGCTACGCATGGAATACACACACCCTGCTACCGGGCGCAACTTTCCCTCAAGCTGCCAAGCGTCATCAGTTCTGCTCAGATTAACCTTTTCCTTCAAGTGCCTCCGATAGGCTGGAAAATCATTTATAATTCACTGGATGGAGGAGGTCTGAGAAGCATCCATGCTGCTGGGCAATGTGTCCTGCACATGCAGACACACACACACACACAGACACACACAGAGAGACAAAACATCCCCCTCTCCTGGCTGTCTGGAGGCCTCTCCAATAGCACTTCCTCCGTGGCTCCTGCTGGATTAGATTGCAGAAAAAAAGATTTTGCTCTGGCTATGAGGGGACTTGCACGTAGACAGCTCTCCTCCCCACTCCCTGTTTCAGACACAAGTGGGTTCCATAAAGCCAGGCTGTTGGTGGAGAGCGATGCTTTGTGAAACACACACACACACACACACACACACAAAGAAAGATGGTGCCTGTTTCATCATTTCGGAATCGTTCCTCTACGCTAGTGCAGGATAGGTGAGGAATTCTTGCTGTCTAATTTTTTTTTTTTCTTAAGCTGCAGTCCAAACGCGCTGGAGAATTCCTAGAAATCTGCTCTTAAGAAACATCAGCCATCAACAGGCACAGGGACACAAACAACATCTGCATCCCATTCAAAAGAGGCCATCAGAAAGCCAAGAAGGGGAAAACGTCAAGACCAAAACACCTCCACCCCAGCAATTCACATCAAGCTGACTGCTAGACCAGGGGTAGGCAACCTTGGCTCTTTTATGACTGGTGGACTTCAATTCCCAGAATTCCTGAACTAGCCATACTGTCTCAAGAATTCTGGGAGTTGAAGTCCACCAGTCATAAAAGAGCCACGGTTGCCTACCCCTGGTCTAGACCAACAGTCCAGAAGTAAACAATACCCCAATCAAGGAACTATCGGCTCAGACAAACAACCTAACAGCACACAACCGACAACTGGCTCAGACAAACAACCTAATAGCACACAACAGCCTAATTAATGTACTGCCAGGAGTTCGATCCAGTCTGTCTGTCTGTCTGTCTGTTTGCCTACCTAATCTATCACATTTATATAGCTGCCTATCTCACAAGAAGTGTTTCTGGGCAGTATACAGTAATAATGAAATAAAAGACAATGCATAGGTAAAAGTAGCTA